ATATATATACAGGACACCAAGTAAAAGTTCGAGCGGATCGACAATATCCGTGACACTTCGACGCGACGATGTAATTTTTTATCGATTTGTTAACACGAATGCACGCGAGCACGAGCGAGTGGTTATTATTTTTCTGAGAATCGTGCCAAAATTACTTCAGTTTTGTAAGTACACTTCCGTTATTGTTACATCAGAGTTTCGTGAACGATGTACATCTTTTTTATGCGTGTCGACAATACAGATCGCGGTACACGTAAGTACACGACAACGGTTTAGTGCGCGTTGCTCACGGAACGAAGCAACGTGCGATCGCATAAAACGAGCTAATTACGACAGACATGATTTAAATCGACGATTTATTTAAGAGAATTGTATATTTGTTACTTTCGACGAATAAAATATTCTTGTATACCTCAGAGCCAAACTTGTCCGTTTGTCATTATTATGTCTGTGACAATTCCCATTCCTTCCGTTAAATAAAATATTCTACCTATCAAATTTATTAATTTACGAAACTTTGTTTTTTTCCTTATATTTGCTGTGATATATTTTTAAAAATGTCTTCGTATATTTTATTTATTATAATAATATAATTATTGGTAAATTTATTTTCATCTTGTTTCACATTATACATATTTTCTTTAATGAAGAAACATTAATGCAAATGCGACATAAATCTTAAAATCCTCGTAGAATCTTTCGACGTAAAATCTCATATCAAGACTGCTGATGCTGTAAAGAACGTTGCATCGTAATAACTTTGCAAACATACTTTATCGGCATACTGTCAATAATTTTTTACCAGCGAAGGAACATCCTTCTTGGACGGTATTAAGGCGCACCTTCGCGCGAGGGCTGTATATTACTTCAATTTCAGCTTGTCTCCGGACGTTCGACAGGGACAAGATATTCTATCTTCCACCTCCTCGATCCCGGCTGCACGGTCTTCCTTGATTTTCTCCCATCGAAAATAGGGACGTACTTTTGCGGAAGTTGAAGGAGACGGAAATAGGTGACAATGGACGTCGAGCGTCGCAATTTTAAAATGTCGATACCAGTCACGCGTGCTTCTCTCTCTCTCTCTTTCTCTCTCTCTCTCTCTCTCTCTCTCTTTCTCTCTCTTCAGTTTTTTAATCCAAGTTCTCTATATAAATCTCTTCCGAGCTTTTCCATGTTGGTACTTCCATGAAGGTACTTCGCAAAAATTATATACTTCTCGATATAATTCACTTATACTTTATATGAAACATGGCGCATTTCGTAGAGATTTAGGCTCGTGCTTTCATTGAAATGTGTGCTTTTATGTTTTAAATTCTATAATATTTATATGTAACGTGAACTATATATACTGAATACGCGCTAAATCATAAACACATTCTAAATGCAGATTATATAACGTTAAAATTTTTAGGACAGTTCCGTATTTATTAAATATTTTACTTATTTGGGTTGAACATTTCTTGGTCGATTTTTACTTACTACATATTAATTTTGTTTCAACTTTATCTAGAAACATTTTGTTTTATCTCCATCTAAAAACGATTGGAATATTAAACAAGAAAAATCACCAATAATATACATATAAAGTTAAATTTTTTTAATCTAAGAAGCTTCGTTAATTAAATGAAAAGTTTGTCTAACGCATATGTCTACCAGAGCAATGTTTAAATAGATTGAAACAAAAACATTACAATAAATTCAACGGTCGAATGGAGAGCTCGATTATCGAAATTGACATTTCCATCATATTTATACGTATTAGTACGGTAAATTAAATTTTATCTGATTCAATAAATGTTTATACACAC